CAAATAAAACAACTTTCACCCACACAAACAGATCACTGCTCCAGCGTATTTACGGAGCGCTGCTCCAGGAAACACAAAGTGTTTCCTCCTCCCCAGTGTTTATATCTGAGTCTTTGCAGTTATCAGGAAAGATGGGGATAAAAGCAAATAAATTGCAGTAACAGACTCGGCATCAGGCAGTTTTAGCACACAGCAGCCAGGGCATGCGACTCAGCTGCATAAACTGAACGCTCTCTGCAAGACGGGTCACACAACAGGCAAAGCTTACGTTTGTGCTGCAGGAGTTTATAATCTGCGTGTAACAAACACAATCAGAAGTATTACCTTAAGAGGAAGTAATTTATTTGTCTGCAGAAATTCCTCTGAGGCTTTTAAAGGAGTTACCTTTGCTCTCTCCAGCACACATGCCCATTATTTCAGGGTCTTAAGCTGCCACCTTGATTTTAATTTTATTTTACAAATCAAGTCGAAAAGCATCACACACATTTGACAAACAGAGTAAGTAACCTGTCCCATCGGAAGGCACTGCGTTTCACAAGCGCAAGGAACACTTCGGGATCTCAACACCGTAAGTTCTCAGAGAGCAAACAACTGACAGAGCTATCTTACCGATTCCTATGGAATGGGCGACCTATACTCAAAGAAGCAGCATTTGTTTTATATGATCCTGGTGTATTAAAGCCATTCACAAATCCACCGTTAGGAAAGGGGGCCTGCAACAGACAGAACAGTCTCAATGGCTGAGCTAAAAAGAAAAACGTTTGCAGTTTCATGAGATCAGCTTCGGCAGTTATTCATCTAGTCCCTTCGTGCTTTTACGCTGGGCTACTGCATCCAGAACATTGTGAACTTACTGCTGAGGAGAAAACCCCACCAGCTTCACAGCCTGCACGTCCACCTCAGCATCAGAGCCCTCCCGTTCCTGGAAGAGCTACAAAGCTCTTCCAGTAACACGTAGCTCTGGATAATGGAATTTCATACCAAAATTTCTGTCATTGAATGGCAGCCGATGGTGAGACATGCAGCCTCTCTGAGTCTTGCTTTATCAGCTCCATGACAAAACATGGAGTATCATAAAACAGAGGGATCTGACTAGAGAACTTACGTGTTCTCCAGCTGGAAAGCCCGCTAACCCTGATGACTTGTTAACCAAACTATTACTGATGTTCTGGACCACCTCCCCCCACTTTCATCAGCTGTTACTTACCAGTGGTGTCTCAAAGTAAGGTGCAGGACTTGGAGACCACGTCTGAGGCACAATGCTGTAAATAGAGTACTGCTGAGGGCTATATACAGGCTGCATGAACAGTGGCGAGGCAAACTGTGCTTGGGTTTGAACCGGCTGAGTATAGACACTGGAATCCACCACCCGGTAACCATTCTTAGCAAAAAACGTGTTGATGGCTTTTATCCTTGCCTGCAAGACACCAAACCACATCACACATCTCAGTTGGCTTTTATCCTTGCCTGCAAGACACCAAACCGCATCACACATCTCAGTCGGGAGAAAAGGACACGCAGGACACGGCATCCTTCTTGCCTACTGAAATTAGAACCGAAGGGATGTGAAAAGGAAGTCGGCTGATGACCGCTCACAAATACAAACCCCGACAAGATGTACCCCAGATCACATTCCTCCAGCGTGCTCGGGAGGAGGAGACACATGCTGCTCCAGCTAGGCAATCTGCCCAGGCTCCCAGTCAGAGCACAAACAGCTTCCCTCAGCCTTCCCCGCAGAGCGGCGAACTCAAGCGAGAGACTCACGACAGCAGGAGTCCCTCTCCTGAGTTCTGCAGACCCAGATTCTGGGGAAAGCGGAGAGGGGAAGACGAAG